GAAAACTGAAAATTTGTGGTGGTGGTGGCGGCGGCTGTGGTTGGTGATAATGATAGTGGTGGCACCGTGTGATAGCGATTTTTGTGGTGGTGGTTGTGGTTGGTGATCTGGCGGTTGTGTGGTGGTGGTGTATTGTGTGGTGACGGTTTTTGTGGTGGTGGTTCTGGCGACAGTGGTGTTGGTTAGGGTGATGTTGTGCCTGTGGTGGTGGTTCCGGCAATGGTGGTGGTTGGGGTGATGTTGGGGCGACGACGGTTGGTGGTGGTTGGGGGTGATAGTAATCGAAAACAACGAAAAAACATTTTGAAAATTTTGGTCAAATTATAACTGAAAACACATTTGGATTTTCTTTCTAAATTTTAAACTTGTTTTCAGTAACGCGTTTTCGAAATTAAGAAAAAGAACACGTTTTCACTATTTTGAAAAATCGAAAATAGAAAATGACTTGAAAACAGTAAAGAGAACATGCTCTTAGGTTTTGGGGTTTCGACAGTACATTTGGTACCCAAGCCACAAATAAACTGTATGTATATGTATAGATTAGGGTTAGGGCTTGAAGTTGTATGTATATGTAAAATTAGGGTATGAAGAAAGCGAAACAAGACGGAATATTTTGTAAAAAGACGTATTTTTCTTTATACTTGATGTGCCTAAATCCTAATTAATACTTGTTATAATTAGATTCTCAGGAAATGATCATTTCTACCACTAATAAATATTAATTACACTCTCATTTTTTTTTTTTTTTCAAAGCATTATGCCATCTACCAAGTATAATTTAAAGTAATGTTGTGTAGTCGTGGCAAGGGTAGAGCTAGTACCCGACGAGTCGGCGCAACCGTCCATGCTAGTTTTGTTGGAAAAAAAAGGATTATAAAACTTTCAGGTTAAATTTTATAAATGTACCCGCTTTAGGCCTTTGTTGTGTGGCTTATATGGAAGAGCACTCACTTTACATGAAAGAGGCACAAGGTTCGACTCCAAGAGCCCGCCCATGAAAGCAAATTTTTTTTTAATAACATTTGCAATGGGAGAGATAATGTAAAACTTTGCCACTATGGTAATTGTAGATTGTTAACAATAAATATGAAAAGAAAATATATATTCAATTTTATCAAAGTAATACTCTTTTGTTTTAAAAATTATTATTTTTAACTAAAATTCGACCTTACAATGACTCAACGGTTGAATCACTGGCATGATGATTTGTCCAATCAACGATCGGGTCGGGTACGTTAACTATGTATAATATACATTTATTATTAGGTTTTATTAATTTATTTTGTAAAATTTAAATTTAGACAATTTAAATAATGCTCTTTATTCTTTTAGGAGTTTGAAAAATAATTTCTAAAAAAAAAAATAAGTTCAAAAATCATTGTTTTAAGAACTTTGCATAAGCTTCGCCTAAGTTCGGAGCTTGTATTTACCATTTAATCATATTTTACGTATGAGTTTCATTTTGTTTCGCTTAAGTTCGTAAAAACTTGAAACTTGATCATACGTATATGATTCAAAAAATGTATTTTTTTCTTGTTATTTTGGAT